AAAGCTTAATCAACCAATTCACTTGTAGTTGCCTACTCTTCATTTCATCCAATACTCCCTTGGATTCACCAAAACTACAGAGCATACTGTGAGGCTTTTCTCTTCTTCTGGAGGGTAACAATGCAGAATTCATCCCCCATTTGAAGCCAGAAACCAGGATGACTGTGAATTCCACAGATCAGCTGGGCTCTCCCAAAACAAAGGCAGGATTTAAGCCCCTCCTGTTATCCCTCCCATCTCATTCAGAACTGGCAGGCTGCTCAAAGCAAAAACAGGCATTTGAAACTGAGGAAACACAGCAGAGATGCTATCCTCCCGTTAAGCAAGGATAGCACGCACAGATAAGACCGCATTTTCCATGTACATGTTGAGCTGTTAAGGAGGAAGAGCCATTTTTTAGATTTTCAGCACCTTCTAAACTTGTACTGGCTGAGGCAGCAGCACTAACCTTCCCTTTGCGGTGCATTTCACCAAAACCTTTTTAATGCACTTGCACTAGAACCCTACTGAGGAACCCAGTCTTTAATCCTTACCTCAGCCAGTGAAGTACCCTGGCAGATCCATCACTTCTCTTGTGCCTCTTTCTCTGTTATGAAGGAGAGAAAGTTCACCTCTTTTACAGAAAAAATATCAAGGTCTCCCTTGACAACTGGGGTTCAAGTTGTGAGCACTGTTTTACATACAGCACCAAAAGAAGCTTTTGTACCTATCACCCAAAATTTTGTCTGTTCAAGAAGAAAGTTTCTTCTTTTAAGTCAGCCCCAGATAACTTCCTGATTGCTGTATCTAGAGTACTGAGATGAGATTGCAAACCTCTGACAAGAGGAAATAGAGACATACTGATACAGATGCATCATTTAGCTGTCTCCTCTCCTTCCCTTCAGTTAGCAATAGCCATGCTAGGGCATACACGAAAGCTGCCTTCACTGTGTAAAGCTAAAATGAATAAAAACTAGAGGTTCTGGGACTGGGAGAATGTGCCTATGTGTTCTTCATCATCCAAATATACCGAGGGAACGAACACACTGAGAAATGCAGTATGGCTCTTTTCAGCATTGCACTGTCTGTAAACTGTGTCACTGCAGAGCAGGGAAACTGTCAGCAACGAGATGAGACACGAGAGCTCTGTGAGTTCAACAACAGGTAAGTGAAAGCACAGCACAAGACGGCATCTCTGGGGGAGAGTGACTGGATTACGATGTGTAACAAACCAGGATCAGAGTTGCTCCTAGGGAATACTCAACACAGGCAGTCACCTCCATCCTCACGCGCCTTTCACGTAACACAAGACACCACAGCTGTCACGGCACCCAAGGGTGGCCACAGAAGCAAAACTCAACCTGTGGTATGGATGGATTTGGTTACAGCTCAGCAATGACATGATCAATTCTGCATTAGTTTTCAGAAACATGCGCTCTGGAGCAACATAAGACATCAGGAGGCCATCTGAACTCCACTCAAAACAACGCTTCCTCCCATATTTTTTTTTTAAAAAACAGCTAAAACACTCCATTCAACATGATCCCCTAACTCACTCCAGTTAACCTCCCCTGATGTTAGTTCCACATATTCATGATTATTCAAAAGTGACTTCGATTCTGTAAGTGTAATCATGAAAGCAAGAAGACAGCATGAAGTACACCCATATTCTTTTAAGACACAAGAGCTACACATGTAAGCTGACCACACCACACTGTGGGGCCATTAGAACTAGTCACTTGTGCTTCCCTGCTTTGGCTTACAATACCCTGAACTGTCACTGCTGAGAGGACTTTTTATATAACAAATATACACTATGGATATGGCATTTGATTATTCACTACATTACAAAGTTTAGTTTGTAAAAAGCTTGGATTTCATTTATTGCTATTTTAAAACATTTGTTTACAAACAGATCCTTTGAAAGAAGTCTTATATAAACCGATGCTCGTGTTCTCTGTCTTCAGTGACTGCTCTGGGGCTATGTTTGGATGAAAACCACACGGGAGAGCCTGAAGACGCCCTCTTATACACAACCAAGCTCATTACACATTTTAGAAAAGTGAACTCAAGCGCCAACATTCAGTTTGAGGATACACAGGGATTATGAGATTAGAATTCCACTGGCTTGCTGGGAGGATTCAGCAAGATAACTACAAATTACTTAGAGGGCTGGTGTCAAAAGGACCGCTGTACTTATTTAGCCTCTGCTCTAGATTACTGACCCACTTACCAAGCGCTAAGCACCCTTGCTGTGCCAGGCAAACACCCACTCCATCTGTTTGCTTCTGCTTTCTCAGAACCCCCATTAGGCGTAAGAAGTTGTGTTAATTACCACATGAGCAGCTTGAATCAAACACATAGTATCAGCCTTACTTATAGTACGTGGTTACCTTGACAGACAGGGCAGAAACGGAACAATTCCCATTGCAGCAGGATTATAAGTGACATAGGTGAAGCACGTGGACATTTCTGAAGTGGGAATTTTATTCAACTTTTGCCAAAGCTTCTTTCAGTCTGGAGAAGAGCCTCCATGTTCCTAGCCGCTTTGGGTTTCCACAATGAAAGGGTTTGCGGGAGTTAAACATTGTATCAAACTCTGGAAATTTCCAGTGGGACCAAAAATCAGTAAAGCCACAAGCGAAATTTGGTAATGCAACAGTTTGGAAAAGTGGTAGACAGTACAGGTCAGCACCTACTCTTAGTTAAACAGAAGAGTTATGTCAGTATTGTAGCTTAATAGCTTTGCACCCCAAACTTCTTAATGGTTAGGAAGAAAAGAAAGTTTCAAATTTAGTATATATATTTTTAAATTTTGCCTGATGACCTACACCTTTTTGTGTCATCCACTGAAGATGGTCTCAAGAGGAGGTTTTATTAACTTCTTAAACTGAAGAGCAAGAATCTCCCAAAATCATTACAGTACTGAGCTGTCATCTGTTCATTCTTGGGCACTCAGACTGCTGTTGTCAAAGTGAAATAAGACCAACAGTCTAAAAACGACTATAAGACTAAAGTCTGTGGAGCGCTGCTGGCAGCCCCAGTATCACCTAGCCTTTAACACCACAGCCACGTTTGTTTAAAAATAAACCTTGCACAACAGCCAACACCACCAGGAGCGCTCTCTAGCTGCCAGCTTCTTCCCAAGACAGGTGAGAAAGAAGTAAAATATAGTAAAATCTGGTCCTTTTTAGAGCTGACTCCAGAATAGCTGAGAACAGTGTGCCACAGACCAGCAAAAACTGCTGATCACCACAGGGAGACTGCATTGTACAGAGCAGATAATCAATCTTTGCATTTTGTTTTAAAGAGTACTGTTATTACTGCAAAGTAAGAGGTCACGCAGGCAAGAGGAACAACTTGAATAGAAAAGACAAGCGCCCCGGGAAAGCAGCTGTAATTTGGAAAGTTCTTTGATCTTCTAACATGGGCTTCGAGATACTGAGACAGCTGTTCCTCTAAAGGGATAACATTTACCATCCCAGTAGCCCTGCAGGGCAGCACTAGGAAGTCTAACATTTGGCGAAAAGGTTAGATACACTTTGTCAAGAGGGTAGTTGTAAGGCACAGTTAGTTTCCATCACACAAAGACTGCTTCTAGTCGACCACTCGGTCTTTGGCAGGGTAAAGACTTGGCCAAAAGATAAAGAACTGTCTCAGTAAAATATACATCCCAAAAAGTTTCATCTCAGCCTACTAATCCACAGTAAGATCACAAAGCTCTAACAGATACTTCATTTCAGAATGTTTTCCTAGTGTCTAAAGAAAGAGAGCAGAAGGGAGAAACAGAGAATTTTGACACTACTCTAGGGGAATGAATAAATAAAGCAGAGTGCAGCATTAGAAAAAAAAAGGTGAATCAAGAAAAGAAAAAGCAGAGAATTTAAATAGCCACTGACTCACAGAATAGGCAAGATTTTCTGAGAAAATTACGTCAAGTCTAAAAGAGAACGCTAAAATCATTATTAGATAAAGGTTATAACACATTTGATACGTGGAAACCATTACTGACACCAGTTAAATCTAGTTTGCACTATGATTAGTACAAAGTTGAAAAGTACAGTGGGGACCAATGTGCCAATATAGAAACCTCGCTCATAAAATGCATGTTGCTTCCCTCCCTTAGAAACTATTGCAAGTGTGAAGGAGCTAGGGGCCTAGGACATTCCTGTGTCACAAGATCTTGTAACTTTTTCATAACAAGGGAAAAAACACACCTGTGATTTGATATTTATGTTGCACACTTCATGAGCTTACACATGAACCTTGTGGGAATTCTGTACAACACGAATCTCGAGTACATCACATTAATACTTACAAACACAACCTTTGCCTCTTGCACAGCAGTTGCTATGAATTAAGTAGAGAAAGTCAAAGGGGTAGAATGCAAGTCATTCACCTAAATGTATATACATATAAAAGAGCAGAAGAGAATTTCTAGAAATACTCTGAGTTATTAAATGGAAAGCATTTTCATTAACCAATAACAAGTAATAATTACAGTAAATAAATTGATTTGCAGGCAACCTGCCTCCAAAGATAAGATCTCCCTTTCAAAGGGAGAATGAATGCAGCTTGTACAACATAATTTAAGCTACTGAAAAATAGTAATTAGATGACTGAAGTGTTGACCAAGGAAAAGAAGTCAATTTTTTGTTACGTGAAAGTGTAAGTTCAAGTAAGCCCCTCCAATTATAGACAGGGTTATCAAAAAAAAGTGTAAAGCAGTGCTACAAACTAAAAGCTGTGCTAGGCACCACAAGGATATACACAAATTATAATCTAGCTGGAAATGCAAAATGACTGTAAAATTACTAGAAATTTTGATTTTACAAAGCATGTGATTCAGTTGTAAGAAGTGAAGCAAGCGCTGTTCAAAAGCAAAACAGGTTTTAAGGGCTTTTTCAAGAAAAAATTCAAAAGCATGCAAGTGGTTTGTTTGTTTATTCACAAGATACTCTAAACATCCATCTAGTCATTTCTTAATCGGTATTAACAATTTCAAACACAACAGCACTTACCTTGGTATCGTCACACATTTTGTATTGCAATTTTGAGTGGTAATTGCCTTCTCAAGCTCATCCAGCTGCCCTGTTTTCTTCAGCTTCTTCACCAGGCTTTTCACCGCTTTTTCACACCACTTTTCCTCCTGACCGTTCTGCTCACCACCACCAGCCCCTCCAGAGCCACCAGCAGATTTTTTCCACCCCAGAAGTCTCTTCACAACCGGTGGAGTGAACGGCAATATGGACGACATGATTTTCACCAGCCAGAACACTCAGCACGCAATAAATTAGAGATTCCCGTCTGATCCCTAAAAACACAAACCAGAACAGACACGTTATAGCACTCGGGCATTACATAAGACAAACACCATGCTAGGAACTTCATTACAGAACACTGTAGGACACAGGTTCCCCAAATAAGCTCGATAACAGTTCAAAACCAGTCTGTATCATGGTCAGTTGTGTCACCAAAGTGATTTAAGTGCAAGTCTTCTGCACATTTTTCCTTTTCCCTCAACAGTTTGCACAAATTAGTACACCAGCTTGATCACAGAATGGTTGAGGTCAGAAGGGACCTCTAAAAATTGTCTAGTCCAACCCCCTGCTCAGCAGGGACACCTACAATTTTGATTGACACCTTGATGTTTGATTAGGTATTTTATTTTTGCCCAAACCTTCCCTGGCAAGTTTAACTGCTTCAGTAAAAATAAGAATGGACTTTAGTCTACCTTTGCACCAAAACTGGCAGATTTTGGTCATTTATGAAAATGTTAATAAATTATTGTCACATTGTAAATACAGATACGTGTGTTCTGTCAGACCTCAAACTAATTTACCAAGCAAAATTGTATTTGGAATGTCATATAGTCATCACAGCTTGACAAAAGTCTTCCAATAGCGAGCCAATTGGCAATTCTTTTGTCTTGTTTTCCATGACTTAAATAACGATCAACTTTTGTTCCACTGGGGATGCTGATTTGAACGTCACTCTTAAATTTGGTGTTGAGCTAAAGTCTTCATCCAACTTGGAATAAAATGGCCTATAGACAGCGAAGCTTCTCAAGTGGAACTACTTGACATCATTAGAAGTCTTCCCAAATTCTTTGAAGGATCTGTAACATCTGACTTTTCAGGTACCTGAGCCGTGGAACTGCTTGTCTGTTTTCAGGGCTGATAACTTGGCATTCACTATCTGCCACCTGACTAGATTGTCTATGTAAAATGAAAGATTAGATTGAAAATATCCAGCTTTTCCTGTGAGTTACACTTTAAGTCATATAAAAGAAAAATAATAGTCAGCAAAAAACTTTTTGGTTTTGCAGCTTCTATTAGGCTGGCTTTAGGTATTAAAATATAAGCCCCAAACCAGCTGTATTGTTTTGGGCAGACAGCTATTAGAGCTTGCCTGAGGACATCGTGGTCCTGGGGACAAAAGCGTGGCACTAAAGCCAAAAGATAAAACTTATTCCCAAGCAGCAACCAGGTATCTGAATTTCAGAAAGGTGACCTGTTTCCCAGCTTCAGTACCTGTAGCTGTGTGAGTTAGCTGAAACCATTTTTTTCAGCTCACTGAACTAAGAATCAATGCTACCTTCAAGCTACTTGATCAGAGAGTTCAATGTACCTTCCATGCCTCCCCATCCTGCACAGACACACTTCTATTTTGCTTTATTAAAATTTTACCCATCTGCAAAATAGCACCGTTGATTTGGGGTATTTTAGCCAAAGTATTCAGAATTAAGTTACTCTTTGTCATATCTTAGCAGCCTCAGAAGGAACCAACAAGTCAACAAAAGATACATTACATTAATAACTTAAAATTGCAGCTTTTTGACTTCCACAAAACTGAGGATATCAGAGAAAGGCTATTTTATTTCCAATTAAATTATAGTCTCCACAAAATAGCCTCTGAGACCACTTGAAAATATTACTGAAGACAGAATTACAGCTGTCTGGACTCCAGGAGACAGAGTTTCTGATTAACAGGCACTCAAGATTAACACTGCTAATTTTAGGGAATGGACTCAAAATAATCCATCAATCTTAAATCAAGAGTATTCATTTCATGCAAGACTACAATATGAAAATAACTCCCAATAACATTAAATTATTGCAGAATTATGTCCAGTTGCGTCCAACCTGACCGCAGGTCAGGTTTTGCAGCCAGCAAAACCATTCAATTGAAATCCTGGCTGCAGCAAAGAAGAAAAAATAAACACAATATTCAATATCTTAAAATTAAATTCTGAATAGGACGCTCAAGCTACGGTCTCACAGGAGCTAAGCCAATGCAGTAACTTTTGGTCATGTCCAGATTTTGTTTTTCCCTTTCTCCCCACCTTTTCCTCTGAACCAGCCCTGATGTTTGTTAGACCTTTCCAAAGACTCAGCTAACCTAGCATAAAATTATGAGATTTTTTGGTTGAGTTACTTTTCTTCCAGATTAACAAGTTACATCTGCTCACACATGGCACTTCAAGTACCAGTGTTGATAGCTGGCAACTTAAACTAGCACAAACCAAAGACAGAGGCTCTCCTTCAGCCCCAGCCTTCAGTAGTGATATTCAGTTTACTACATCTCTTGAATTACAACCTGAGCACACACTTTATTAACACGAGAAAATCAATTCTGGTGAAAAAAAAAGCCTAATCAAGCAGTCTTATTCCCATTTCCACTGGTTCTGAACAAATTAGACGCTAAATTTGGTGTACTGAGTGGCTCCAGAGACAAAATGGGAGGCTTACGTAGCCTCTGCTGTTTTAAGAAATGCTTGTATTACGCTCCTGAAAGAGGAAACTGGACTAGATGTTCCAGGTGTGACTTGGAATAGCAGTAGCTCTGGACTTTACTAATAAAGACAACTTCTGAGCAGGGCCAGCAGTAACACTTGAGGCATACGCCAGAAATTGCCCAAAACTAAATGAGGGTGGACAACATATTTTGCCACAAAGATAACATTTAAACACCAGTAATTGATGGCTTGAAGTCTGAGCACCAAATTCAAGGCTCAGAAGTAGACAACTACAAGGATCAACATCAGTGTGAATACACTACAACTCTCCTCCAATTCCCGGAGCTCAGCTCCACACAATCCTCATACTTCCTGTTCTTTAGCTTCGGGTTTGACACCTTTCAGCGTCCCAGGATAATTATTGATGGTCAGTCTCATAAAACACATTTCACTAAGGTCTCATCCGCTACCAAGGTAACTTCCCTCTTTTCACAGGCCCTCTAAAAATGGCCAATGCCTCTATTTTTTCTGAGATGAGATGTCCAGTTTTGCAGTTTTACTCCCTTAAGACACAACACTGATCTATACAATTATCTCTATTAACATACAATTTTCTGTATTCTCCGGTACTGAAATTAAATAAAATTTGCCTTTCTGCTCCAAATGCATATTAAGTCATCCAGCGTTTGCAGCAAGGAAGAAATCAGCCCCATATGTACCTGTTCTTTACATTTGAATTCTTCAGCTATTTTGACACATTCGAAAACAAAAGTCTTCCTTTCCCCATTTTCAAAGGGCTGTCAGTTCAGACATAACTAACCATAATTTTCTAGATAGTTTACTTACTGCTTTACTCAGTTCCTTTACATACATGTTCATAGTCCAGTTTCTGTAGAAGCTGTCCAAAAAAGGTAGAGCTGCTACCCCACTAGCAATGAAAAGGACTAAAAAAGATCTATAAAAACTTTAAAAGTCCTTTATTACAATGATTATTGCACCTTAACAAATGATTAAAAAAATAAACATACAGCACAGCTATGGTCTAAGATTCTGGGAAGCTTGAACTAGCTGCTCCCTTCCAGTCACTGGTATGCTATGTGCCACTGAAGTTCACTAAGTTATTCCAGTAACAACCCCATATCTTTAAAAGGCCGAGCAGAGAGAACGTGACAAGACAGGACTTCATTCACCCTTGGACTTCACTGATTGCAATATTCTCTTCCCAGGAGTCTACTTCAGCAGAGTATTTCTGCAGAAGTTACATTCTACTACAAAGCTAAAGGAGGTACTACAAACTATGCGGCATGTTGAGCTTGAACCCCAAGCAATTTAGACAAATCTGAATTACACGAGGCAAAGCAGTAAGGCAGAGCTCTTCTGACCCAGTGGTGTATTACTATTACTTTATAGTAGCAAGATGTGCTACTCGAGGGTAAGCACAAGAGCCTGGCTGCTTTGTGCAGCCCGTTCCCCATCCAACCATTACAGGAGCCACATTAGAGGTTACCTTCCCCATATAGTAGCCATTTATGGACTGTTGTCCATGAATTTATCTATCATTTCTAGACCTAATGATACAAACTGCCTCTGCAACCTCTTGTGGCAACCAGCGCCAGTGTTCATGGCCCACTGTGTAAATTTTAGGTGTTTATCTTGATCTCTTCCTAGCAGAAGTGGGTGCCTCTTGCATCACTCCCACAAGCTCTGCTGAAGAGCTGCTTATACCCATCTCGTCCGTAAGCTCGAGGATTTTGTAGATCTGAATCATGTTCCCTCCACAAATGGAGGGCTTGTATTAACCTCCACCAGGTGTATTAGCTTATATTCATGTCCACATAGCCTGAGGTGCCAAATACCCACGGATTTATGGATCAGTGTGCTGCAGCTCATTTTGGACTGGAGAAACCCATTTTAACTCATCACCTATTTTTTTTGCCTGCAGGTGGATACAGTAACATAATGGGCACTCATCTTTTGTTCTTTAAGCATCATCCTTTCATTCACCATCACTGCTCGTGCTAGGCTCTGCCTCTTACTAAAATACATCCATGCTCTGCTACTGCTTTTTCCCTGTATCCTTTGTTGATCCATAAAAATGAATAAAATGCTTCCTTTCCCATTCCAATTCTGAACTTTGCCAGCACCACAAGAAACATTTCTACATTACAAAGATGGCTGCGGTCTAAATTAATAGACGCTAACTCTGTCAAATCTCTTTTTCCTAGTCATACAATCTTCATGAAATCCCTGTAGTCCACAGTCAACTTTCTCCAGATACTGAGTACCCATTTAAGGCTTTTTTTTTTTTTTTTTTTTTAAAGATTTTGACATCTGCACCTTCCCCTCATTCATTCTTTGCACCGTCTCTGCTCATTCTGTTCTATTGAGGTCCAATATTACAACCAAAATTTGAATCTTTTTGCCTTCCCGTGTACTATTCCTAAAACATTTCAACATATCAAATACCTTCCTGTAATTCACCACTGAGTCTCAAGATCCCTTTCTAAGCTCAACTACAGTTGAGCTACCAATATCAAGGCAGAAGTGCTATACAAAGCAGACGGCTTCCATTCCACTCATGCTGCTTTAAACTGCTGGCACACTGGGAGAAAGCGCAGTTAAAGATCAGTTATTC